GTTCATCGACCCATGCTCCCGAGGCCTTCTCTAACTTTGTTTTTAACCCACTCAGTATAATTCGATTTGTTACCTCGACCTGGCCATTGGCTTGCGGATGAGCAATGGACGCAAAGTGTTGCTCGATTTTCATGTCTTCACACCACGCTCGAATCCGCTTACTATTGAATTGAGTGTCGTTGTCGAAAATCAACACTTTGGGTACGCTAAACCGACAGCAGATGCTATTGTATAGAAATTTAATTACTTTCTCCTCCGTTATTTTTTCCAAGGGCTCGGCTTCCACCCATTTTGTGAAATAATCGACCGCCACTATTAAGAACTTCCTCTGCCCAGTTCCCTGAGGCATCGGCCCCACCAGGTTGATACCCCACTGGGCGAATGGTATAGGGGCACTCATCATTGTCATTGCTTCTGCCGGTTGGTGGATAAGGGGGCCATGTTTTTTGGCATTGCAGGCATTTCTTCACCATCGCTTTCGCATCTTCCCTCATCGTTGGCCAAAAATATCCCGCCCTTAAAATCCTTGCGACCAAAGCCCCTGACTTGCTATGATCACCGCAGTATCCTTCGTGCATCTCTCTCAGCACATATCGACCTTCTTCCTTAGTAACACACTGCAAATGGGGTCCCCCATACGACCGTTTGTAAAGAATGCCTCCATGCTCAAAAAACCTCCTCACCACTTTTATCGTTCCTTCTTTCAGCTCCTCCAAGATTGGGGCCCTCCAATCTTCCACTTCTTCGATCTCCGCCACTTCTGCTTCGACCATAATCCTTTCAAGATGCAATAAAGTGACACTTCTGCTCTTGCAGTCCACCAAGCTCTGAGCGATTTTCGATAATAGGTCCGCCCGACCATTTTCTCCTAGAGGAATTTGTATCAGCTCGAATGAATCGACTCCTCCTTCAATTTCCTCATCTCATCTACATACTTTTGCATCCGGTCCTCCTTGACTTCAAATCCCTCCTGAAACTGCCCAACCACCAGTTGAGAATCAGAATGCACTTGTACTTTTCGAGCTCCTCCCGCCTTGGCTAAACTCAGGCCTTTGATTACTGCTTCATATTCGGCCTCATTATTGGATACTTTGAACCCCACTTTAGCTGCAAATTCCAAGTAATCGCCTTTAGGAGAAACAAGGACAATTCCCAATCCTGCCCCGCTTCGCGCCACAGATCCATCCACAAATAGCTTCCATAACCCTCCTGACTCCTCCTCGACTTTCGTGCCCTCCTGGATAAAATCGGCCAACACCTGCGCCTTTATGGCCCTCCTCGGCTCATATAATAAAGAATACTCACTCAACTCGATCGCCCATTTCACCAATCGACCCGAGACCGATGGTCGGCCAAGCGTTTCTCCCGATGGCATGTTTGTCCGTACTCTCACTTTATGGTTCAAGAAATAAGGTCTCAACTTTCGAGCCGTTACGACCACGGCCAATGCACATTTCTTAATCTCCGAGTATTTCGTCTCTGCCCCCTGCATCACCCTACTCACGTAGTAGATGGGCAATTGCGCTACTCCTTCCTCCCGTAACAACACCGAGCTCACCGCCCTCTCTCCTATAGAAATGTATAGCACCAACTCCTCACCCTGTATGGGTTTAGCCAATAAGGGAAGGTTGGCTAACACCCCCGTAACTCCTCGAAGGCCCCCAGTGCCTCCTCCGTCCATTGGAATTTTGCACTCTTCTTCAATGTTTTAAATAATGGACCACTCTTCTCCGCCACCTTCGATATAAAACGGCTCCGCCACCTTCTCCGCCACCTTCAATACCTCTCTTGGTCACCAAGTAACCCAAGAACTTCCCCGATCTCACCCTAAAAGAGCACTTAGCAGGATTCAATTTCATCCCATATCTCCGCAATGTTAGAAATGTTTCTCTCAAGTCTCGCACATGATCCAACTCCTCCTTGCTTTTCACCAACATATCGTCCACATATACCTCCATGTTCCTCCCCAGTTTCTCCTTGAAAATTTTATCAACCAACCTTTGATATGTGGCACCCGCATTCTTTAGACCGAACGGCATGACCACGTAACAATAGGTCCCTCGGTTTGTTACAAAACTCACCCGCTTCTTGTCTTCTCTTGCCAAGGGAATTTGATGATACTTCTGGGAGGCATCCATCAGGCTCAGCAATTCACACCCAGCCGTTCAGTTGACCAGCTAGTCGATTCTGGGCAGCGGGTATAGATCCTTCGGGCACGCTTTGTTCAGGTCATGGAAATCAATGCACATCCTCCATTTTCCTTCCGCCTTCGACACCATCACCGTATTTGACAACCATTCAGGGAACTGGATTTCCTTGATATGCCCTGCTCCCAATAGCTTCTCGACCTCCTTCTCAATGATTTCGTCATCTCGGCCCCATGGTGTCTTCTTTTTTGCTTCACCGGCCTCACACTGAGGTCTATGTTCAGCCGGTGTTCGATCACTTCCGCACTTATCCCCGTCAACTCCTCCGCGGTGTAGGCAAAAATATCCGCGAACTCCCTGACCAGATCGATAAGCCTCGACCGGATAGGCTCCTCCAAGTCTTTCCCGATTCTGAACTTCCTCTCTTCACACCCCTCGATCATCTGTATCTCCTCCACCTCTCCCCCTGGCTGAATATCCATCTTCTCCTTGCCCTTCTCCATACTTTGCTTATCCTCTTTCGACCTCGACCCACCTGGCCGATTAATCCTCTCCTCCTCTGACTGGGCCTGCCTCCTTGCCAGCTGCTTATTATTGCTAACCGTCGTTTGGTAGCAGCTCCTCGAAGTGAGCTGGTCCCCGGCAATCTCCCCTACGTTTTGGCCCACCGGATATTTAATCGTCATGTGGTACGTGGATACGACCGCCTGGAACGCGTTCAAGCTCGTCCGCCCCATAATGATGTTATAAGATGATTCAGCCCCTACGACCACAAACCTCACCATGCGCACCTTCCTCAGCTCGCCCACTCCCAGCGCTACTGGCAAACTCACCTCACCCATCGGCATCACCTCCCCTCCACTAAAGCCATAGTGCCGTGGTCACCGGTTTCAACTCCGTATCCAACTCCTTGTTAATTTGCACAAAACAGTCATAAAACATCACGTCCACCGAACTTCCGGTGTCAATAAACACCCTTTTCACATCGAAGTCTGCAACCTCCGCGGTTATCACCAAAGCATCGTTGTGCGGTAGGACCACTCCCTCGGCAAGCCTCGTAATCCCTTCCTCTTCACAGCTCGAGCATGCTCCTTCCTTGCCCTATTCGAGTCTCCATCCGTTGGCCCGCCAAAAATCATGTAAATCGTCCCTCTCTTCACCGGGGCTTCTCCTCCATGCCCTCCTTTATCGCCATCTCTCCTTGGCTTCTTTCCT